TATAGTCACCCAACCGAAATTCAAGCACAAAAAGCGTCTACAGCTTCCTTAAATGTTTATAATTAATTTCACATAATTATTAATAACCATTTTAATTGGTTCCTGCTGGCGTGTCAGAGATTCTCTTTTGTGATATTATAAATTAAAATTCAACAAACACAAATTACACCAACTGCACAATCAAGTAAAATAAATTACAAAATGCAAGCGCACAATTGAATGAAAGAGGAGATATAAAACAGCCAACGAGTGAAATCATCGAGAATGAGCAAATTTTCCACAATCATCGCACAAAGATAATTCCGCAAAATCGAAAGCCAAAAAGGGAAAAGCAATCAGAGAGGCAAGACGACTAAAAAAAGAGCACAACGCAACATAAGAAACAAAAACCAATTTTAAGTGATAATCAATAAAAGAAAAAAAAAGCGAAATCAAATTGAAAGGCTTTATTAGTAATAGACAACAACAACAACAACAACAACAACAACAACAACAACAACAACAACACCAATCAAGAACCCAAAACATATGTGATAAAGTCAAGTGTAAATCAAAGTTGAAGTGTGTGTGTGATGAACGGTGTTTAATAATAAATAAAAGTTTCATGGGGCTTATTGCATAAATTCCCGCTAACCGTTAAGAGTGATAAGGTCCGGACGCTAAGGTCCCATAAACCCAGATTGCGTGTTAAATAATACATGGCCGAAAAGACAGTGAGCAGCGGAGCAGCGAAAGATTAAGTTTATATTCCCATAACTGCCATTTTCAACTTCACATTTCCCGATGTCGTTCAATTTTCTAAGACTCGAACCTCAACCTCAACATCAACAACCAAAACACCAACAAAATCACCAATAACAACAACTTCAACAACTTCAAAAAAAGTGTGAAGGATAAGGATTTAATTGAGAGACAAGCGAATCAGCTTGAAGGGCGACATCAAAGCCACGCTGATGATGGGCTACATCATGGGTTGTGCTTGTTTCAAAGGTAGGAAAAAAACAAGTGTTGAAAACGCGTGTGAATACACAGAAAATAAATTTATTTAAATTAATTTCAAAAGATATTTTTATTGAAGTTATGATATAGCCAGGTTTATAGATACCCTTTCTAATAACCTGACTATAAAGGTCATTATATTCAAAATAAGCTAGAGAAACAAATAATATTATTATTAATAATATTAATATTTAATATCACAACTACTAAAAAATAAATCGCTGAGAATTCGAATGGAGTACATAAGGCATGGAAGGTTGAATACATACTCAGGAAATTAATTTTTGCAATAACAATTGTTTGAGAATCTTTTAAGCTAAAATGTAAAATATATTTTATATATTTTTAAAAAAAATTTTATAAGATGGATGAAAGTTGACAGCACTATTTTTTCCTCCAGTCGATCCCCATTCCACTGAATGATTTTCAATTGTCAATCGTCTATCTTTTATAAGCCACTACTTTCCCACCTCACTCGTTCGGTTTTTCCTTCCGCTCATTAGGCGAGAAAACCTGAGAAGAAAAAAAGATTTACAGCTTAGGGCTTTTTCTATTTTGTAACGCTCTTTTCGGTTTTTCTCGCATCCTACTGCACACGCATTTTCGCATTTTTCTATGCAACGTCACCTAGACGACGTCACTAAAACGGAAATGAGAGCCTGCGCTCTGCATCCTGCGCGCTCTTTTATCCTTATTTTCTCTCTCACTGTTAACTTTTCCATCTTAACATCTCTCTCTCTGTTATGTTTTCCTTCTTAACATTAATTTAACAGCAGTTTGTAACATTTTTTATAGCAAATTGAACATTGTTTTTTTTTTTTTTTTGGTGTGCAACTCATGACATGATGATTTTCTACTGTGTTTTTGGGCTTTTCGCGACTTTTCATGGTTTTTATGGGCTACAGTATATTTATTTTTATATTTTCGTCCTGCCTTTGTTCGTGTCTCTGTGTGTGTAAATTACTCGATAGCCTTTTTGAGTGCAATGTGATTTTTATGTTGCCTTTTGCACTTTCCTTGTTGTTTTCGCTTTTGGCTGAATGTTTGTGGAATTTTTTTCGGCTGGATCCTTGAGTTTGTTTATCTGTTTAGATTGGAATATGTAAGGTACATATATAATGTGTACGAAGTGGTGGCTTGATTTGTTTAAAGGTGAAGTGCATTCTTTGCTTACCTTGTGGTTTTTTCAGTTTGTCCTGATTGTCAGTCAAGCTCAGCCTTGACTGCACTTTATTTTATCGGTTTATCGTTTGCTGCTTTGAGGTTAAACTTAATTGAATGTTAACCTTTGAACCAAATATACCGGTATAATAGAAAGTATTTCAAGATACTATAATTTTACTAAATAAAAAATTGCCCTCTTATTAATTTAAATTGCATCGGGTTTGAAAGAAAACATAAAAAAAATTATAGTTATTATAATTTAAAAGGTGTTGTCAATAAGTTTTTCTCTTTTAAAATTTTTGTGTTAATAAATTTTTTTTTTTTTTGGGTGTATTTATACTTTATTTTTAACACCTTGAATTTGAAATTCCTTGTGAATGGTTAGCGTTCTTCAACCATCTCGTTTGAGACATTTTCTGCGACTTGCGAGTCCAGAGAATGCCTTTGGGCACTTAGCAGCCTCCTTTTGCTGGTTCTAAGCCCCATTTTCCTTGCTTTTGCATTCCATAAGCCACAAAGTATGAGTAAGCACTTAACCCTTTCTTTGACCGCTTTCTCTTACCCTTTCTTCTCCTTTCTCCACTCTCTTCTGGCTCTCTTGCATTCCTGACACGCATTGCAAGTCCTAACCTTTCACATTTATGCGTTGCACACGCCCATTTGCCGCCCACTTTTTCTCTTCCTAGTTAGTTTTATTCAATTTTTGCGCTATTTTTACTGATGCAATTTCACAGCGGAAGCAAGGAAATCGAGACAACCGTAGAGAAACTGGGTAAACGGAGTGAGAGCGGAGAAAGCGGGGAAAGCGGTGAAAGGAGGCTGCCTAAGTGCTTGGCCCATTAAAGTATGCAATCATTTTGCGGTTAGTTGCCCTTGTCTTCATTCCTTCGAAATCACCACCACCTTTCTTCTTCAGTTTCCACTCCCCCTTCCCTTTAGCAATTTCCCCGTTTTAACGGCTACATAAATTCCGCCACTGGCATTCGCCTTTAACCACTTTGCTACTCCATTCTAAGGTAGCAAGTTTCTTGACAAAATTATCAATTCTCAAGGTGTTTTCTTAGCTATAACAGGTGCACAAATTTATTAACTACCTTTAAGAGTGTCTAGCTTAAAGTAAAGTATTTTCAGTATTTAGTATTTAGCTTACATTTTTAAAAACATTTTAAGCATTCAGTGTTACGAGTATTTTACAAATATTCGAATACAGTTTTGATTTAAGATTAGCAATGATACACTACATTTAATTAAAATTTGATTTGAGTTTAGTTGATTTTTAAAAACTTATTCGTTTTGCATATCATTTTTAAGGATAAACATCAATAACTTTTTAAATGCCAATCTTTTCATCTTTGACATTTGTGCCACATTTTTATTTTGCTTTGCTGGATTCTGTGGGCCAAGTTCATTCATAAGCAAATTAGTGGAATTTCTCTTCTTCCTCTTCCAAGTCTATGCCCCCACAATTAAATCGAAAACACAACGTACTACCACCTCCCCTTCAGTTGTTCGTCCCTCTCATCTGGAAGTGAAAACACCCGTAGAAGCTACGTATAAATAAATAAATAAACAAGCGTTTAATTGAACCGGAAATTATTGTGTGTGGGTTGTGTGTATGCTTCTTCTTCTTGTTTTGCATCTCTCATGTGTGTGTGTGTGTGTGTGTGTGTGTGACAGTCTGTGTGCTTCTTATTGGAATTTGTTGTTCACTTTTATTTAGTTTTATCCCACAGATGTTGTTTGTTCGGATTGCGTTTTAGCTCTTCAACTTGTTTGCCCAGTTGGTTTATTGTGGTTGGAAAGAGAGGAGTTTATATTTGAGGTAATGAAAGAGAGGGGTTTACGGGGGTTATGAAAGAGATAGATGTACTGAAGGGGGAAAGAGAAAGCAGGGAAGATTAGAAGCTAGTTTCTCGCTTTGGGGCAGCAAAAGTATATACACGTTCTTGATTAGTTTTATTCTCGGTTTTGCCAACAAGTGCCAGAGATTTAAGCTGGAATAGGATTATGTAGTAAAGATTTTGGAACATTTATTGCTGCACTTTAAGGGGGTTTTTCGTGCAACAAAAGCTTATCCAAAGTTTTATTTTCGGTTTAATTGGGTGAACTATCATTCTTACTGCTGGCTTGTTAGAACTTATATTATTTTTTATGTTATTGCTTAAATGTGTGTTATATTTCGAGTTTTTCATTTTGTTAAGATTGTTTTTAAATTTATTTTCGGTTACATGATACGACTTTCTTAATTATTTAATAATATAATCTAATATTATTGTTTTTTTAATTGTGGGTCATTCCTATAGAGATAATTATAGGTTTTAAAATATTTCAATAACTTAATTCAAACGACTTACACTCCGCATCGAAAATAATTTAAATGAAACGTACTGCAAATCATCAAGTAAACATTTAAAGAGCTTTACTGAGAATTACGTTTTCTATTCATACTTTTGTTTAGAGAAGGGTATTTTCCTACCAAAAACCCATTAATATGCAACCCCTCGCATTAGCGTGATATTTTCGATTTGCATGTATGGGTGTGTGTCTGTGTTTGCATGTAACTGTGTGTGTGTTTTGTGTATCTTGCAGCACTTTCGTGGTAAATTAAAGTTGACAGTCGTTGCATGTTTCGACTTACAATACTCGACATGTACCATTTCCATTAATGTCTACTTCGCCACGCCCCCAACTTGTTGAATAAAATATAATTTGACATTATTTATTTGACTGAAGTTCTATCTTCACTGGTTAATCGGGTATTTCAATACCATAATTACCCAGCTGAAGGGGCTATAAAATATCCTGCAGACAACGAAGTACACTTTAGTGCCTCCAAAATGTCTCGAATTGTGACTGCTTTCAAAAGAACCGCTGTGGAATATTTTCGAAAAACAAGTCTCAACGGTTTCGGTCTGCTTTACTTTATCAGAAAACGCCGAGTTCAGAGAATCTTCTGGTTTTTGTTTATTAGTTTTGGCATAGTTTTGGCTGGTTATGCCGTGTTCGAAATGATTCTGGAATTTCTCAGCTACTCAACTGTTACAGATCTCTCGGAATTAAAAGTAGCGGAAGATGAAATGTATTTGCCCGAGTTAAGAATATGCAGTGGCTATAGGTTTAGTGGCAGAAAAATTGCAAACTATGTACAGAATATAGATAATGGCAATAATAAATCCAAGGAATATTTGTTAAAGGAATTGTCATTGCTTTCTGGTTATTTTGATTCTTTGTCTGTTGACTCAGAGGAGGTTTCTCAATATAATTTACTGGATATAAAAAATATTACCTCTCTTTTGATAAATTTATCACCCGCCTGCGAAACGTTAATAATAAAATGTAAACTTCAAAAAATCTCTGCCAATTGTTCAGAGTTATTTATATTAAAAGCTACTAATCAAGGCAATTGTTGTGTTTTAAATAAGGCAAATATCACGGGAGAACTTTCCCTTTTTCTAGATTCCTCACAAGAAGATGCATATCCCTTAAACGATAATTTCCCTGGCTTTAGTTTACATATACCAAGTTGGCTGGGTAGAATAAGCATTAACCCTGGTGAAATGGCAGCTGTACAAGTAGAAGTTATGGAACTTCAGGGAAATCCTCAATTAAGAGCGTATGCTATAGAAAAGCGAGGTTGTTATTTTTCTCAAGAGGGCGAAAGTAGGGAAAAGTGCCTTAACGAGTGTAGAATAAAAGCCACCTTAATTAATTGCCAGTGTGTGCCATATCCGTTTGGGTTGAGCGAGGAAAACTTTAAACTGCATTGTACTCTGGAGAATATAAATTGTTTGCAGTTGGTGGAGAGTGAGTTGTTCATTTCATAACTCTTTAAAATTATTTAATTTTAATAAACATACAGAAAACTGGTCACCAGCTCAGTGTCCGCAATGTTTGCCGATGTGCAACCAATTGTTTTATAGACTTAAGAAACAAGTCATAGACAATTTGCATCCTTGGAGAAGTGAATTGAATGTTAAATTAAAAACACCACATCGCCAGCTGTACAAAACTAATATACTCTATCATTGGTATCAAGTGCTTTGTGAGTTTATTTAACATTTAAAAACATTCTATGCAATTAAATTAAATTAATATTTATTTAAACCACACTAGCAAACATTGGTGGTGTTCTGGGCATTTGCATTGGCTGCTCTCTCATCAGTTTCTTGGAGCTGATCTATTTTATGGTCTTTCGCCTATGGTCCAACTATCTTCGGTAGCCAGAGATTTAATTAAGTTAAATGTTACCCATACGCCGTGTGGGCAAATTTGTTGTGATTCATCTCGGTGACAACGTGCGAGCGACAGGGCCGCATTAATCTTGATGACTTGAATTGTAACTGAGTCGAAATAAATGAGTGAAAAAAAGGGAAAAGAGTGGGTGGCTAATGGGCGATGGGTGGGGCTTAGCTGGAGTGTGCCGATCATCAAGGTTAAGTGGTCTGCTGAGTCCCTTTTTCATCGTCTCCCGGCTTGTTCGCAATTCATCGCCTGGGGTGCCACTTGATGACTACTGAACGGCAACAAAAAGATACAGAAAAATGTCTTTCCTTGTATGTAAACTGTACAAAATATGTTTATACATATATTAAAATTGTTTTTTAGATCTGAAGAAATACAATTTAAAGCAAAGAAAAGTTTTTAAATCACTTTGTTATTTATAAAAATCATAGTTTTAAATAAAATATACCATAATATATATCTCGTTAAGAATAGAAACTTTGTATAAGACCATTTGAATAATTAAATAGTGACCATAGTAAAAAATTAGTAAATTTTGAATGTTCAAGACTTGTAATAAAATTGTAATATTAAGAAATATTAATATTTTTAACAACGCACTTTTTACATAAGAAAACATTTTAAAATCTTAGAAAGATAAATTTAACTAATTAGAAACAACCTCAAGACGATCCATTTAATTTTATTATCTGGCTTAGTATTATTTTCTTTCAGTGAATTTGTGTGAGTGTGAGAACTTTTCTTAAGTGCACCTTAACGTACGCTTTTCTGTATTGATTTTTCTCAAACCACTTGTCAACTTTTGAATAATAAAATTCTTCTTTCTTTCGTTGCAGGTGAGTTTTCCCAAGAAAATGGTGTCCCTACATTCTATAGCGTAAGTTTGTAAACGTTTAAATTTAAAAATTCAAAAACTTAGCTAACAGAATCTGTTGTTAGACTGCTAACTAACAGGGAAAAGCTCAACGAAAGCTTTTAAAAGTGAGGAAATCAGCTATGAAGCACTTCCTCTAGAAAAGCTTGTACAAAAAGCTTTTGCTTAAGAGGCATACATTGTGTTGAATAAAGTGTAATTTTTATGGTCTTCTCTCAGTTATCACAAATCATGTTCAATCAATTGAAATGGAAGACAGAGAAGCTCATAAAATCGAACTTAAGCCATCCATTATCAAAAATCTGGCGATAAAAACTGCAATCTAAGCGTAGAGTAAAATCTAGTAGCAGCGCACACATTTTAATAGCCATCTGGGGACAAGAAAAACATTGAGCAAGGCAAACGTCTCCATTAATTTTAAAACCGCCATCTTATCAGGGCAGCGCGTCATGGTCCTAAGTGATTTTCCTCCAGCTCTGTTGATTTACGGAGAAAAAGCGGTGGAAAAGCGGATATCTGCTCTATATATTTTACACAAAGAGCCACTGAACGCAAGGACATGCGATGCCGTGTCCTTCACCTTCCCAAAAAAAATGAGAAAAAAATTTATACATAAATATCTCTGAGCGGAGGAACCTTCAGCGTTCCTTTTAAAGTATTCCGTATGCGGCGGCGGCTTGTCCTGGCATTATTATTTTTTATTTCCCTTAATTTTTTTTTGCCGGTTGATGAGCCGCTGATCAAAGACATTCCAGAATGGCTTTTCCGGGCAACAGTTTCGAGGAAAATTCAATTGGATTCGCTTAATGTGTCACATTACTCTCAATTTGAGTAGTTCGATTTAGCGGCAACTAATTTGGGGAATTTGAGAGCTCCACAGTTTGCGTGGGGAGGCTCTGAAAATAGCTCTTAGTTTTTCAGGGGACCAAAGGAATTTAATGATTGCTTTTCGGTTTTATTTATATTTTTAAATACATTTTATTTTCTACTTCATATAAAGAGGATTTCATGATTCTACAAATATAACAAAAAACTGTATAATAAAAACTTCTATAGATGTTTATGTTAATGTTTATTAAACATAGTACAACAATGTTTCTGGTTCAAACAATTTTATATAAAATTTTATAGAAACAACTTTAGGACAATGTTAATTTAAAATAATACAACAATATCATCAATTGCCAATTGTTAAATGAAAAAAATGGATTTTTCTAGTTTAACTTATACAATTTGAGCTACGGTTAACATTTTTCCTTAATTTCTTCTGGCTTGGAAACTTTAACTTCTTTACTTCTTCTACAAAAAAATCAATATTCAATGCTTTCTCCGTTTAGTTTTACAAAAAAGTTGTGAGAACAAGTTTAAAGTAAATTAACACTTTTTAAGGCGCATGTTATTACCATTAGCAACATGCGAAAAACGTTTTTCCAAAGCCCATCACGTCTGCATGTGTGGACAGTGGTCGAGGAGAAGTTTTTGTTGCAAACTTGAAATGAAATTGCTTCAAATTAAACATTTCGAACAGTTTAAGCTTGTGTCTCAAATTGCCTGCCATTGTATTTTGTTGCTCGACAAACTCCGTTCGGATGTGGTAGAAATGCTCCAAGGACATTAAGGCGAACCCATTCCATTTCCATTTCCTTCACTTTACCAGAAGCCTGCATCGATGTTGACTGTCTCATTTGCATAATTCTAATATGGAACATTTTTGGCCAGCAACAGAAGCAGCAGCAGCAGCTTCCTCAACTGTCCACCTACACACAAACGCACCCAAACACACACACATGTACTCGGTTTTCGTCCTGGGCCAGGAGATTTGCATATATAAAAGCGTAGCTGTGTCCTTGTCAACGTAAATTACGGCCATTTGATTTCGGCAATTACAACGCATTTTTGTGCAACAATTTTCCGTTTTTTATTGTACCCAAAAAAAAAAAAAATACATTTTAACTTTAATAAGTTTGTCTTGAAAATAAACTACACACAGTATTAAAGTATAAGTTTTAAAATTAATACTTAACTTTTTTGTTTAATTACCGGTGAGTTAAGTTTTATAATGATGCTTTCGTAGTGTTCATGTAATACTCATCTAGTTAGTTTTACGGCCGGCCTTGCCACCATGTTTGTAGCAAGTTAAGTTGGTTGTGCCACACCATTTGTTTAAGCTATGGTGTTTATACATTCTCAAATTTTCCCATTTTATTTTTTTTAATTTCACAGTGAATGAAATTTGTTTTCAGTGTAGGCTCTTGTTTTTTCTCTGCTTGATTTATGTATTTTTTTTATTTGTGGAGAAACGATTTCAATTTAAGCTGCTCACTCAACTTCGACATGTTGGCCAAGTTAATTATGAGCTTTTCCTTGGACTTGTCTGCAGTCGACAATATTTATTGTTGCTGTCCCGTCTGCAGGACTTCCTCTGTGATTTTTTGCTTTTGTCCGTCCTTTGTTCGCGGTTTGGTTTTCCTGCAACCAAGTCGCAGCAATTTGGCTCTCAGCCAAAAAAATAAAAACAAAAAAAAAAAAAGGTAGACAACCTTGGCCATGAGAAGGACTTTCTATTTATCTATTTGGCCGAAGCCGAAGCCAAGTTGCCGACTTGTTTTTGGGCTATCTGCATTTTGCGGGTGGAAAATGAGAATGAAAATGATTATCATTTGTTTTCGTTAAGTTGGCTAAAACCAAACTGTCCAGAGCCAACAAGTTGTGGCATCTCATAAAAATGAATTACGTGCGACGGAGCGAAGTAGTCCCAAGGATTCTGTAGTTTATCTAAGCTCTTCCTTCTTTCCCCCTTTTGCCAAAATTTTTCCCAGATCTCCAGGGATAAGTTTGTTTCGTGGGGAATTCCGGCAATAAGGAACGAACATGTTCACTCGCCCATGATATGGGACAATTTGTTGTGGTTTAAAGGAATGCAAATTGAATTTGCTTGTGTAAAATTATGTATAGCGAAATTCGTAAAATATGCGCTTGATTTCAAAGCCATACAAGATAGGAGTTGTAATAAATGTATTTCCATATTTTGCTTGTCAATTTATTATCATACGGAAGTTATTGTTTATTAATAAAATATAGATCAAAATATATGAATGTTAATATGTTTAAATATTTAAAAAATCATGGTACAATTAAAGAAACATTAGTTCCTGTTCCTTTAAATTTGAATCTTAAATATCATCTCCTTAGAGTTTCTTATAATGACATTAAAAAAAAAAATTATTTAGGTTATGTCCGTCAGAATTATTTTCGGCAAATTTACTTACGTTTCTATACTGAAGTCCTTAAAAGCTAAATAAAAATTAACTCACTTTTATTTTGGTGTAGATTTAGTATTCAATTCTTCAAATTACATATGCCAAAGTAATTTCTCCTTTGTCAAACAAATTGAATCGTTTCGTCCAATTACAAAAAAAAATATTTCAAAATAATTTGTATCGATTTTGGTGAAGAGCTCTCCTCGTTTTGTCCCCCCCCTAACGACTATTTTGCCTGCATCAATTTAGTCCTTTGCGATTTACATGATTTTCCTTTGCCGACGACTTTCCAATCCGCTTTTCAGCCTTTCCCCCGCTGCCCTTGACCATTGTGTAAGTCCTCCCGGAGCGGAGTCTTATGCAAATGCTTTTCAGGGGCGAAAGTCCTCTCAATCGAGGCGGGATTCCTTTCTCGTCGTCCTGTCCGTTCAATCAAAGTTGACACTGCCTGGCGGGAACATCCAGGACTCGAGATTCATCCCTGTCATTGTCATTTTCAGTGTGTGTTTGGTGTGTGTGTGTGTGTGTTGAGTTGTGTTGTGTGTGGGCGTCGCATTAAAGCGATTTTATTTATGCAACGGCATGTGCGCTCGCTGAGCTGAGTTCTTAACCGAATTTCGCATGCAAATTTTGCACGTGCCCTCGTCTTTGTGTGCATTTAATTATTAAAATTTAATTTGGCCAATTTTCTCGTCCTTTCTTTCAACCCAAAAAAATCAAACTGGAAACTACTCTAATATAGAGGTCCTTTGTCTGCCAAGCAAACAACCTGTTTGCATCCTCAAAAAAAAAATCTAAAATATAAGCCGAAATAGTTTTTCTTTTTAGAGGACATGGCACATCATTGTTATTCCTG